CCTGCTGGCCTGCCCCATCTCAGCAGGGTTCTGTGCTCATCATGTCTCTGGCAAAGGCTGGGTTTGGCGGTTTGGTTCTGATTCCTGGGGAATGGAGCACCTGATTCTAATCTGGCAGCTGGGAAGAGCTGAAAGCATGGATCTTGCTGTCCAGTGGGCACTTTACAGCAGCCGGACTCCTGGGGGACTAGAGGGAGAGCTGGAGAAGTGATGGGGAGGGAATGGTTGCACTGGCAATGGAGAGAGAGAAGCACAAGTTAGAAGACAGTGACAGGGATTGGAGGCTGATGGGAAAGGGCAAGGCTGAAGGTCCTGCTGCGGCAAGATTATATTGTGTAATTAATAAAGAATATGAAAATATATTATTTGATGTCAGCAGCCAGCTCTTTTAACATCCAGCCCTTTCCAGAATGCTCTGGGCTTTGGTTGGAACTCGCTTTGTAGACCAGGCTGGCCTCAAACTCGATCGCCTCTGCCTCCCTGCTGGGATCAAAGGCATGGACCACCTCAGCAGGTTGGCCATAGGTTACAATTTCTGAAATCACCAGAGTGAGCCACATTGATTGGATCTCAAAGGTGGGTGGGACTAGAACTTCACACCATGCCCAAAGGGCTACTAAGAGGAACCTGAAAGGTTCCTAAGAATTGGAAGGGGAAGAGAGGAGTCACAAGATGGGTAGCTGAATCCTCTCAGCTCAAGCTCACTACTTTCCAGGCACCAATTGAGGGAAGGAAATGTAAAGCAGGATGCTTGGTGGGGATAGGATCAAAGTGAGTGGCTTGGGGAGGCAGCCAGACATTGTGATTGCTACCACGCCACAAAGCTGTAGGGAGGAGAGGGGGAGAGCCAGGCCACTATGGATAAAGGTGTTCACCCACTTACCTCCCTTCATGGCAAATATTCTTACCTTGACTATACAGAAAGAGATCCATCTCAGTACTGAAGGAAGAACCCCCTTTTCCACAGTCTGAGACCTCATGCCCATGACTGATGCATTCAGTTTCTTAGGGTGTGTCTTGAGAGTATGGGGCTGTCCTGGCTGAAAGAACACTGAGTCAAGGAAATTTTGGTGGTTGGTCTGGGCTCTAGGAACCAGGAAGGAGTAGTATGGGGTAAGGGACAGAGCCAACTCCAGAGGCGGATCTCCCTGGAGGACAGAGCAAGCATTGTCCAACCAGGAGGTGGCTGCAGCTAGGCGGGGATAGCATTTTCTTCCAAACTTCTTTTTGTGGGGGCAGGAAAGCAAGTCCCCCTTCACTTGTAGCCTTGGGGGCTATAATGGTTGCTGAGAAACGAAGCTTATTTGTCAAATGTTGCTACCGAGAAGCAGATGTGATCAATCAGTTCCTGAGACTTGTGAGTTAGTGAAGCATTTGAGGTGATACTGTTCGCATGAACCCGGGCCTTCATATATATACTTGGATTCCAGAGCACAGTGCCCGGTTCTGATAGGAGAAAGCAAGTCTATGTGGCCTGTTGTGTCCCCAGCCTAGACTCAAGTCTGTCAAGTGAATATCCTGTTTGCATTCTGCTAGCTGACATGGGCAGACGGGAAGCTAGGTCTTCTAAAGACTGGTTGCTCCCAGTTGGTTGGCTACTAGGCCTAGACTAGCTTCTGGGGTGAAGCCTGGGAAACCTCTTTCTTGCCACACTGAAAAGCTCTCAGCACAGCCACTCACGGATCCCTTCCAAACTCTTGCCAGTTTTGGACTTGTTAGAAAATAGAAATGGGAGGTGGTGTCACACATCTCTAGTTCTAGTACTCAGGAGGCAGAGGCAGGAGGATGTACATGAGTTTGAGGCCAGCTTCATACTGTCCTGAGTTTCAGGACAGCCAAGGCTACACAGAGAAACTCTGTCTCAAAACACCAAACCAAACACAAAAAGGACAAAACAAAAACGAGGAAAGTAGCTGTCTCTAATGGCACACAGCCTGTGCTGCATCATTCTTGGATACAGTACCTCAAATGTGTTCCAATTCCTTGTGACTATCAGTTCTGTCTCTGCCCTAACCCTTTTCCCTGCTTTTCAGCAAAGACCACTTTTGTTTGGAAAGCTTAAAATCCAGGTATCTCATGAAGAACAGTGGTTTCAGTACTGCCGCTCCACAGCAGCTGTGCAGTCTGTGGATGGCACCACTTGACCTCACGGATAGCTGGGAGTGAATTTAAAGAGGCATGGGTTGCACCTGTCACATCCACATTCAGGTGTTAACCCTGATCAGAAATGCTGGAGGATGAAGTTGAATAAGGTCCCCAATCTTGGGCTTTGTGCACTGCTTTGTGCCATGCAGTAACTCATCCTCTGCTATGCAGACTGAGGGATTAGAGATTTGGAAGAGAGGTGGAACAATAAAAACACAGGGAGCATGCAAAAACTGCAGCATTAACTTCAACTTTAAAGACTGGGTTTATTTGGAGAAAAACAAAAAACCCTCAACCCAAAGGATGGGATTTTACATCTCAAGACATCTCCCAAGTAATGTCTACAGATTACAAATCATTTTCATAGAAGATAGTTTTGTACAAATTTTACATGTATTCAGGAGCGGGACATAAGTCAACCCCTGTTTTTATTTTAACAGAGGAGCAAAGTAGGAGAGCATGGGACAGAACAGCTTTCTTCTGGATGCAACTATCTGGAAGGGAAATAGACATGAAGAGGGCTATCTACCTTTTCATTGTCTACAACCAAAGGTTTAAAAAAAAACCCCATTCAATGGTGGGTCTCTCTAAAGGCCCGCTTCCTAGCTACTAGCCAATCAAGTCCACTGGATGAGCGACTTGCTATGCCCACTGCTGCAGCCCATGAAACCAACGCTCCTGCAGAGCAGGTCTAGGGTTTGCACATTAAGACCAGGTCTCACTTGCCTGCAGGTACCCCGATGTCCCACAACAGGGAAGCTTGCTGTCAAGGTGCAGATCAAAGCAGACAGGTCAAGCTACTGTACTCAAGAGAAGCCAGACCTTATTCAATAGTTCTCTACATCATCCTTTATTCTTGAAGGAAATCAAGAAACCACCCCCCCTAAGCAGAAAAGCACAGTCTAGGTCACATTACAAACCCAAGCACCAGCATAGGGTTCCCATGAAGGAAACAAATAGAAATCTTAAACACCCCAATCAAGGCTGAAGACCTTTAACTCAACTCTCTCCATTCACCACCCAAGCCCATCAATTGAAATACTCTGACCTCCAAAGGGGGTGAAGGCAGCAGGAGCAGGAATTAAAGATACCACAGAGCTGGTTTGCTTGACAAAAGCAGTGATTCCACAAGGCCACAGCTTCTGGTGGCCAAGATAAAAAAGAAAAAGAAAAGAAAAGGAAAAAAAAAAAAAAAAAAAAAAAGGAAAAGGAAAAAAAGAAAAAAGAGAGAGAGAGAAAAAAAAAGGTCTGTGAGAGCAGGTGTGTGACTTAGAGAGACTGCTTTTGGAAGGCTGACAGTGTCATCAAGAACATGAGATGACCAGTGACAAAGTTTGGAAAGAATGTGGATATATTCGAACCTTTAGAAAGGACAGATTTTAGAAGACTGGAATTTCCCACGACCGCTAAGTGCTTCCTCATCCAGGAAATGATTGTTCTATTCATGTGTCTATTGGAGGTCACAGCATTTCCCTTACTACCTGGTATAAAATAACTGATCATTCCCTCAAAACTTTTCAAACCACGATTGAGTTTCCCATTCATTTTGGTCCCCAGAGGTACTACTTGTTAGTGGCCTGTAGACTCACTCCCAACTACCCCCTTGGGGGGTAAAAAATTAAAATTAAAAAACAAAACAAAACAAAAAAAAAAAACCCAAAACACAACTCCCCTAGGCTGGCCCCAGCTAAGTCTGAATTGAAGTAGAAGGGCTGGCAGCCTCCTGGAGACTAAAATAACTTGAGAGACTAGATCTACCTGGCCAACGGTGGGAAATGTACTCAGATGATGTTTGGGAATTTGTAGGTGCCACCACAGGACAACAATTAAAAGGTAGAACTCTCACTCTTCCTTGTACCTTTCTCTACTGCCTAACTGATGCAACCGAGTCTCACTGTCACTACATTTCTGCTGAATGGAGCCCCAGGCACTAGTCACAAAGGTAACCACTTCTATCATCAGAACACATCACAACTTCCCCATTCAAAAGTGATAGCCACATCTCTCTGGCTACAATGGTGATTCTCCAGTTACTTCAATACTTTAAAAGGCTGCAGCAGCATGCAAAACAATTTCATTTCATTAAAAAAAAAAAAAAAAGTTAAGAAAGGTCTTCAGGAGATGGTGAGCTTTATTTTTTCTTGTCTGGATAGAGGTTTGATTTGCTCTTGAATCTTCCGGGGTGGAGACTAGAAGAAAGCACAGCATGTGGAGGTCTACTCAGCGTGGTCATCTCCCTCATTCTCGTCTTCACCATCCACAGAGAGAGCAGCATACTTGCTTGCAGAACTGAACTTCTATAATAGATGAGAGGGACAAAGTAATAAAGTCTGAGATTTTCCTAGAAGCAGAAGTTAATGCTTTGGCATAGGGGACATGAATTCATCTAGGGGTAGCATGTTCCACCGAAGCAATCAGGGAGGGCCAGGGTCACAAGTCAGCTCACCAGCAATACACATCCTTTCCACTTTGCAAGTGTGTAAGAGCTCAGAAGGGTTGACTCATCAACAAAAAGCCCATCTTAGCTTTTCTCATTAACTTGAAAAAAACACCACTGCCTCATTTCCAACTTCTCCAGTCTCAAGAAAAAAGGAGTCTGCAAAACTGAGCTATGAGAAGTGGATGCAAGCACACAACACTTACAGAGGCTGGGTTCTCCTCAGATTTCTTTGGCTCAGGTGCAGATCTGGAGTCTTGATCTTTTTTGCCATCTTTCCTGTCCAACCCCTTCCAGTGGTCTTTGTTTGCTCCATCTCCAGGGCCACGACTTGGGAACCCAGTTTGGCCTTTTGGGACATTTACCCCATCTATTTTATTTTCATCTGTTTAAGCAGAAACACAAAAACCAAATTCAAGTCACATAAAGTAACCTATTTCCTTGTACTAGATTTTCTTTTAAGCCGAAGAAAACATGTACTAAGGGAAATTAACTCCATTCCAGGCCTTTCTTCCCAAGTTCCTATACCACCCAGGCATACCAAACAAGACATATTAAAAAGTCTCACTGTAGTAAATGTCACCCGGAAAAGCAATATAGAAATAAAGACCAGAAGCCAGGTGGTGGTAGTAGTGCAGGCCTTTAATCCCAGCACTGGTTAGACAGAGATAGGCAGATCTCTCAGTTTGATGCCAGCATGGTCTTTGGAGTAAGTTATAGGACAGCCAGGGCTACACAGATAAACTCTTATCTCAAAAAACAAAAACCCCAAACAAACAGCAAACCCCTCTTCCAGGAAAGAAAGAGAAAAAGGGACTAGATTGTTCTGTAGTGACCTTGGCTGGTTAATGGTGACATTTCTCACCTGGACAGACATAGTTATTCCTGTCCAATTTCCCCACCAAGGCAAGGTTTACCAGGAAAGCCAGCTTCTGACACTCTTTGAAGAGCCCATTCCTGCCCTCTATTGGCAAGGAAAGGTAGCTCATCAAAAGAACATCACAAAACAGGGCATAAAAGTTCAAATTTCTTGACTGAAGGTTGACAGGGGGAGGGAAGACATTTTGAATAGTGTGGCCACTGGTAAGGTGCCAGAACTTTTGTAATCCTCAATAAAGCCCACTAGGCAACTCCCCCACAAAAGTCATAAAAGTAGAATAGAGGCTAGCTGGGGAAGAGGGATTGGCAGGAAGGAGACAAGAGAAGCTAACAGGGCAGCAGTAATGATAGGATTAAAATACATCATATACATGCATGAACTTGTTGTCTTCATGAGACACAAATACTGCAGCTTTCAGCAAAAAAAAAATAATAATAATAATATTTTTTTCTTTTTTTCTTGCTCATGCCTTTAATCCCAGCACTTTGAGGCAGAAGCAGGTATATCTCTGAGAGTTTGAGACCAGCTTGGTCTACAGAATGAGTTCCAGTTCCAAGATTACATACCTTTATCTTGAAAATCAAAAACAAATTTATTTGGTCAAGGTGTTTAATTCAGGAATTTTTTTAAGAGTTGTTTTTATTTTATGAGTATTGCCTGCATATTTGTGCCCCACCTATGTCTGGTGCTTGTGGAGGGCAAAGAGGCATCAAATGCCTTAAAGAAACTGGAGATATGAATGGTTGTGAGCCACCATATATGCTGGTGCTGGGAACTGATTTTGTAGCTCTTGGATGTGTTTGTATCCAAGGCTTTACACAGATCAAAACCTACTTCCCTTGGCTCACCTTTTCTTGATGGTCCGTCCTCAGAGGGCTGAGCTGGAGCTACTTTCCCTCCACCACTAGAATGGAGCAAGCAATCAACCATCAGTTTTTACAAGAAAGACAACACAAGCTTATACCATTTCCAGAATGCAGTGGGTTGCCTTTATAGAAATACACAAGAGCCTGCATGTTGAACACTGCAATATTTAAGTATAGGAAAAGACAATGAAAGCAGTCACTTCCACACTCAACTGCCATATGCTTTGGAATTTATAACCCAGCAAGGCAATAGTAGTTTTCTCTTTGCAAAAACTGAGAAAAGTTAAGAGAATCTTAAGTCACTTAAATGATATGACCCTCCAAGGTTACACTAACAGTATATCTCAGGACAAAACCCAATAGACATGTCTACAATTTCTGTGGTATAAATGCGCCCATCATAGCTGATTTCAACCCATCAAAACGATGCCAACTGGCTAACAAAAATGAAAAAAACACACTGCTATGAGACACCTCAGTATGAATTATACATACTACAAAGGCCAAGACCCCTCAGGGCACCTTCCAGCTAAGCAGCTGCTGTTGCAGGCCTACTCACCTTGTAGGGGACTGCTGCTCTGTGTCTGAGCTCTGAGATCGAGCAGGAGGGTTAGAGCTTCGCTTCACCCACGCATTCTCCTTTGGCGGAGGGGCTGGCATTACCTTTAGAGGCTGATCAGGTTTAGAAGGTTTGGAGGTTGGAGAGTGACAGTCTTCTTCTTTATTGAGGGTTTCATTTTCTAGAGACTTCTCACTCTCTCTCCTTCGTGTATCTGGGGGATGGGGGGAGACTCACTGTATATACACTGTATAGCATTTACCTGAACTGCAACAGCATAGAAAATGACGTACCACCACATTAATTCCATCAGTACAGACTGATTTGGCTAATAGTTATAATTACACAAAAACCAACCATGTTCTCTGGGAAGAAAAGGGAAAAATCTACCTATGTAAGAGACAACTGCCTTCACACAGGAACAAAGATCAAAAACACTTGTATTTGCACAAAAAGTTTTCTGGAACTGTGGAGCCTGATTTTACAGAGGTGCCTCCTACATTTGAAGTACAAACACTACCAAAGTGGCCACACAGAGCAATACCACACTTATCCCAGCCACAAGGACCACTACGTTATGTTACTGGACCACTCCAATGTAAAACATTCCCAGAAAACTCTTAAAACACTTGGCTCAATTTACAAAGCACCTTGGCGGTAGAAGAGCTTAGGCAACAGTGGGTCACAGTATAGGGAAATGGGTGCTGTGATGAAATACTAGCTATGCTTGTGAGTGAACAATCTCAGGAAGAATGATGTTCTATCCCTCAAGGACACTGCTTTGAGGCTACCTAAATAACACCATCAAACAATGTCACCCCCAAGAAGAGCTTGTGAATGCCAATGCTATGGTGGCTCTAAAAACAAACAGACTAACAAACAAAAACCCAACATACACTGTCGAGATAGAAAATAGGGGCTGGCAAGATGGCTCAGCAGGTGTGGCAACTTCTCACCAAGACCTGCTAATAACTGAATTCAGCCAATGCCCAGGACCACGCAGGGTGAAGAGACAGACTTCTGCAGGTTTTCCTCTGGCTTCAAGGCATGGCATGAATATCCACCTCTCCACAAAATACATGTTAAAAAACAAGATAGTCTAACAGTCAAGTATTCTCTTTAGAGACAGATAATTAACAGAACATTGAAGTCTATTCTGGTACCTGTTCTCAGGCTTTTGGAGGAGAGATGTGAAAACCTATCAACCCTTGCTGAAGGCCCTGGTCTACTCGACAAATGTCAGGATACCCAAGACGATGTAGAGACTTTGTCTGAAGACTGAATCTACAAACACTGCAAAGTCCCTGCATACTCTGGTTATGGAAACAGCAATACTGATACCCACCCTGGTCTGACTTACTTCTGCCAGATGTGGCTGAGGTCCCAGTCTGAGATGACTCACTTCCTGTCCTCGACCGTTCTCTTTCCTGAGTTTCTTCACTTCGCCAACTTGGGTGTCTGCACACAGGAGATTAAAAACGACAGAAAAATGGTGTTCAGTTCACTAAAGGCCATCATGAACCTCACACAAACTGTTTATTACAAAAATTAACAGCTACAAGATGGACGCTGTTGGTGCACCCTTTGAATCCCAGCATTTGGGAGGCAGAGGCAAGCGGATTTCTGAGTTTGAGACCACCCTGGTCTACAGGGCGGAGTTCCAGGACAGGTTACAAAGCTACAGAATAACCCTGTCTTGAAAAACAAACCAACCCGAGGCTGGAGAGATGGCACAGAGGTTAAGAGCACTGACTGTTCTTCCAGAGGTCCTGAGTTCAATTCCTGGCAACCACATGGTGGCTCACAATCACCTTGAATGAGCTCTGGTACCCTCTGCTGGCATGCAGGCAGAAGATTGTATACATAATAAATAAATAAAATCTTAAAAAAGAAAAACCAACCAAAAAAAATTTGATAAACCCATTTTACAAAAAACAGGCAGGATTTATTTACTTCTGTATCAAAGTGCCACCAATTTCTATTTATGGCAAGTGTGGCAAAACTTTTGAAAACTCCAAGGAATGAAGTCTTTAGTGTGTGACACTGTCCCAAACTCTGGAGACCGCTTCACCCTGCTCAAAACACTTCTCAGTGAGTGATACCAGCCATCACTCCCATCCCCAAAATGCCTCCACTCAGCAGCAGGGATGAAACCACTATCAAGACACCTTACCTCTCACGTGGCCGGCGGTCTAGTTTTGGCTCATCCAGCTGCCTTTGCAATTTCTCTTGCTCCTTCTGTAGCCGCTCTTCTACTTCTCTTTCTCTAGCAGCTGTGTCAACAGGCTTTGCCCCTCCAAAGATAGAAGCCGCTCGACTGGACTGGGAGGTGCTAGCAGAGGAATCATCTTCCTTAGGAGTACTCCGAGGCTTTAGATTCAGTTTGGGTCTTTGGGGGGGACCTAAGTTAAATGAAACTCTAAGTAACAGTTTCCAAATAATCAGGTGAATGCCAAAAGCCAGACTCCAGACACAGCTCTCATGATCTTGTTCAAGGATCTGGTCTGGAAAATGAGCATCTTCAACAGGTTCAAAAGACTTTGTAGAGCCAGGCAGTGGTGGTGCACGCCTTTAGTCCCAGCACTGGGGAGACAGAGGCAGGCGGACCTCTATGAGTTTGAGACCAGCCTGGTCTACAAGAGCTAATTCCAGGACAGCCTCCAAAGCCACAGAGAAACCCTGTCTTGAATACCCCAAAAGAAAAAAGACCTTGTAGCAATGACAGGGAGGGAGGGAGGGGAGGGAGGGAAGGAGGGATGAGGGAGGGAGGGAGAGAGAGAGAGAGAGAGAGAGAGAGAGAGAGAGAGAGAGAGAGAGAGAGAGAGAATTGTGAGAATGAGAAGGAGAGAACACGAATGTGAAGGCCAGAGAGTGCCAAAGGATCTCCTTGTACACTCAATCACCCCATTATAGATACAGGTGAACATACCCAACTCACCATTTTTTAAATGACATGTGCTGGAAATGTGAACTCAGACTAATTACCCATATAGCAGGCACTTTACAGACAAGGGACTATCTTCTTATATTTTTGTATGAAATTCTAAGTAGGCCAATTTCTTATTAATCTTTCTACATTATCAGAGTACTTTCACAATAAACCTAAAATTGGTTTCAGCCTTAGTGCAGAAAACTGATATGAAAGGTACTGTGACTAGAGAGGAAGCCTGTGTGTATACCACTGGGTTTAAGTGATGAAAGAATACACGCCATGCCCACCTGCACTGCCTTCTCACAATAAAATGCTAAGTTTGGTCTTCTGTATTACGTGGGTGCATGTATTGAAACAGTGTATTATTTGGCTTTTGTGTGTGCATCCCTCACACGCACAGATGTCAACCTTAGGACACTCATTTCTTAAGCACTGCCCACCTTTTCTGAACAGGGTCTGAGTGACCCAGAGCTTGCTTGATTAAGGTAGGATGGCTATCCAGTGAGTTCTAGGAATTAGCCTGTCTCTTTTTCAAGCTATGCATATTTATTTATTTATTTATTTATTTATTTATTTATTTATTTATTTAATTTGGTTTTTCAAGACAGGGTTTCTCTGTGTAGCTTTGGAGCCTATCCTGGCACTTGCTCTGGAGACCAGGCTGGCCCCGAACTCACAGAGATCCACCTGCCTCTGCCTCCCGAGTGCTGGGATTAAAGGCGTGTGCCACCAACGCCCGGCATGTAAATTCTGTTTTAAAGTTATGTATTTTATATGTAGTGTTTTGCCTTCATGTATATGAAGCACACGTGTCTGGTGCCTTCTGAGGTCACAAGTGAACAACAGATCCCCTGGAACTGGAGTTTTGGTGGTTGTAAGCCACCATGTGGGTGTTGAGAACTGAATCTAGCTCCTCTACAAGAACACCAAGTGTTCTTAATGTTCACCAGCTCTTCCAGCCCCTTGACAAGTTTCTTACATGGTGTTGGCACAGAACTCAGTTCCTACTGCTTGCATAGCAACACAGTCTCATGAACCATCTCCAGACCTTCTATGAGAGACATAAGACAACAGTTTCTACAACTGCCCAAACTTGTCAAGGAGCAATTATCTTTACATTCAAGATAAAAGTGGCTCAGAAAATATGTAGCCAATATTTGGCACACTAGACAATGGAATGAATATGATTACCAACTTCTACCTCTCCTCCCTTTTCATTTAAAATTTCCATGTATCAACAAACTCATCACCTGTTTAGATACTATGTAAAAAGCTACAAGGATAGGTGATGGTCTCTATGTACAAGAAGCCAAATTTGATAGGACCATCAGATTTAAAAATACTACATGTTAAGTCTAACAAAATTAAGTTCATATTAAAGACATGACAGGTACAGAGGAAGCTCAGCAGGTAATGATGTTTACTCCTAAGCTGACAACTCAAGTTTGATTTCCTGGACACTTTTGGAAGAGACTGGATTCCCACAAATTCTCCTCAACTTCCATGCATGCAAGCATACACAAAAGAGTGAGCGAGTGAGATCTAAACAGATAAGAACCAGCCATGGCCTGCCGCTGACTCCCAAGTGCTGGGATTAAATGTATGCATTACCAGTCCTATCAATTTTTTAGGTCAGACAACCTAGCCTTCAGATGGCATCACCACATTTAAGAACATAAGTGGTTATTTTTAATAACATTTGTCAGAGCGAGTGTGAAAGTGCTTTTTTTCAAGCAATCAGGTGCATAATTTTTAGAATAAGCACACAAAAATCTCACTTAAAATTAGCAACATTTGTCCGGGTGTTGGTGGCGCACGCCTTTAATCCCAGCACTCGGGAGGCAGAGGCAGGCGGATCTCTGTGAGTTCGAGGCCAGCCTGGTCTACAAGAGCTAGTTCCAGGACAGGCTCCAAAGCCACAGAGAAACCCTGCTTGAAAAACCAAAAAAGAGCGCAACAACATTATTACACTAAAATTACTGACTGGAACTTTTATTTTCTTGTTTCCTTTTCAACTGTTATATATACATTTTTTGAGATAGGGTTTCTCTGTGTAGCCCTGGATGCCCTAAAACTTGCGTTGTAGACCAGGCTGGCCTTGAGCTCAGAGATCCGCCTGCCTCTACCTTCCCAGTGCTGGCTTTTTTTTTTTTTAATTTTAACTGAAGAAAAGATTGTCTCATTTTCATTATGTCACCCATATCCAATTGTCTACTGTGCTCTGCTACTTCATTTAAAATATATAAACTGTGTTTTCTAAGCCAGGAGGTAGGCAAATACACTTTACAACTTAACTTTCCGACATTGTGCTCCACGATAAAGAATGAGAAAATGAGTACCTCTGTCATCACGCCTATAATCATCCCGAGAGTAATCATCCCTGGAACTCCAGGACCGATCGTCCCTTCTGTCATATCGGTCTTCATAGCGGTCCCCACCTCCTCTGTAGTCATCATCCCTTCGGTACCCACTACCAAATGCTCTTCTGCCACTGCCTATCCTGGAGTCATAGCCTGTAACAGATCTCAAATGTGGTCACACAGAAAGGAAAAGAAGCCAAAAAGAAATTCTTGAAAAGAAGCACTCTCACAGGGTATGTTACTGTGACTACCTCGGTCATAGTCTCTGCTGCCTCGGTCATCATAGCGATCCCGGCCCCCATAGCGATCCATATCTCTTCGTGGGCCATCCCGATATCCATCCCGATATCCATCCCGATACCGGTCTGAATCATAACGATCTCGATACTCTAGAAATAAAAGCGTATAGGTAACACCACTCTCCCCCATAGTTCATCATCTATTCACTGATTCAGTTTTTATAGAGCAAAGCACATCTTCAAATCAGAACCATTTGTACTAAATTAAAAATCTCAGTAGTTAATTATTTCTTAAACAAACACAAAGCCAAAAACCCCAATGGGTGCTAGGAATGGCGCTCACGGCAGAATGCTTCCCCTAGGAACACCACTTGAGAAAAAACCCACATGCACAAAATGACAGCTCCAGGATGTTCCCCTAATGAAATTTTGCTGGCTAAAGTGTTTTTTTTTTTCCTTTCTCTCTTGGGTGGGGTGATAGTAAAATATATATTCCTTAACAAATTCTAGAATATGTTAAAAACATGTAAGCATAAAACAGAATAACTGAAAATTTCTATGTTTGATACAAAACAACCAAAGATTGCTTCAAAAAGCTTAGTGTGAGGACCAGCCAGATGGCTCAACAAATCAGGGCTCATGACTCTCAAAAGTTGACCTCTGACCTCTCCAACTTATGCTGAGGCATACATGTGCTTGGCTACCCTGACAATAAATGCTTAAAAAACAAAGGGTGGTGGTGGAGCCTGGAGAGATGGCTCAGCATTAAGAAAGAGCACTGGCTGCTCTTCCAGGGGACCAGAGCTTCAATTCCCACTGCACACATAGCAGCTCACATTAGTCTATACCTCTAGTTCCAGGGGACCTGAAAGCTTTACATAGACATAAATGCAGACAAACACCAATGTCCATAAAATAAAAGCTGTGGTGGCTAGAGAGATAACTCTGCTATAGGAGTTCTCACTGCTCTTCCACAGGACCCAAGTTGGTTTCTACAACCTAAACCAGGTGGGCAACAACTGGTTTTTAACTCTAGCTCAAGAGTCCAATGCTTCACTGTCTCTGCAGACACTATATGCGTGTGCAAACCCCCCAACATACATACATACATACATACATACATACATACATACATACATACATACATACGAACGAATGAGTCAGGGTTTCTCTATGTAGATCAGGCTATCCTCAAACTCAGAGATCTGTCTGCCTCTGCCTCCCAAGTGCTGATATTAAAGGTGTGTGTCATCACACCTGATAAAAATAAAATCTTAAGCTGTTAGTCTTAGCAAACACGAGAGCCATGTAGGCATAAGGAGTCCCATGCCAGCCAGGACTACATAGTGAAAACACCTCAAAAACGAACAAAACTTAATACAATACAGTGCTGCTCTCAAATTGCCCTTTTCTGAGTTTTAAATGTTATTCTTACTATTACATACACATTATGATAAAATATGAAGAATTCCATTATTTGCTGTGTTTCAGCTGTTCTCCCACACCACACTCCCAAATCTCTTTTTCCACTGCCAACGTCTGGTGAAGACAAGATTCTTTGCACATTGTCTCCAGCACAAAGGCTGTTACTATATTCTATATTTTAAGTGCATGAATTACAAGTTCTCTGAGAGTCATCCTTTGCTGGCCGTTGGTGACGCACACCTTTAATCCCAGCACTCGGGAGGCAGAGGCAGGGGGATCTCTGTGAGTTCTCGGCCAGCCTGGTCTACAGAGCAAATTCCAGGACAGCCTCCAAAACAATACAGAGAAAACCTGTCTCAAAAAACCAAAAACAAGCCGGGCATTGGTGGCACACGCCTTTAATCCCAGCACTCAGGAGGCAGAGGCAGGCGGATCTCTGTGGGTTCGAGACCAGCCTGGTCTACAAGAGCTAGTTCCAGGACAGCCTCCAAAGCCACAAAGAAACCCTGTCTCGAAAAACCAAAACCAAAACAACAACAAAACCAACAAAAAAGTCATCCTTAAAAATTAATCATGGGGGCTGGAGAGATGGCTCAGAGGTTAAGAGCACTGACTGCTCTTTCATAGGTCCTGAGTTCAATTGCCAGCAACCACATGGTGGCTCACAACCATGCGTTATGAGACCTGGTGCCCGCTTCTGGTGTGCTGATATACATGGAAGCAGAATGTTGTACACATAATAAAATCTTAAAAAAACAACAAAAAAAAACTAATCATGATTATAGCTACGCAGCAGTTCTTTGCTGTTTTTTTTTTTTTTTTTTTCATAGAGAAACTTGCTGATAAAATTTAAATAAGCACCTGGCTTTTTTGTTAGATTTCATGTTTCTGTGTATGTAGGTCAGTGGTCAACCTTGGGCTTGTCCCTCAAATACTGCCTATCTTGGTTTTGGGAGACAGGGTCCTTCACTGACCTGTAGCATACTCATTAAGAGGCTGGACAGCAGATTCCAGTGATATACCCATTTTTACCTCCCACACTTGGTTTTTTAACTGGGGTACTGGGAACCCAATTTGGGCTCTCCTCCTTGTGTGACAGTTACTTTGGCACTTAATTGATTGAGCTGCCCCTCTTGCCCTACTTATGGCTTCTTTATAATCATGTCCAAAGAGAAATACCTATACAATTATCATGTATATAGTGTTCTGCCAAGGCCAGAAGAGGGCACCAGGTCATATTACAGATAGTTGTGAGTCACCATCTAGTTTCTGGGAATTGAACTCAGGACCTCTGGAAGAGCAGCCAGTGCTTTTAACCTCGAGCCAACTCTCCAGCCCCAAGATTTTTTTTTTTTAAAATAGGAGCTTAAGGTTCCTTTTCTGCATCTGTCAATGCAAAAACTCAAACAATAAGTAGAAACAACAGAAACTATCTCTAAGCCACACCCTCACTTCTAACTACTAATGTTCTATATTACCAAATAGGCCCAAGAATACTGAAGGAATGAATTTGAAAAATTGAACTTACTGTCTCCAAAGCTATCATCACCTCTTCTAGGTGGGTAGTCATCAAAGCTGTCTGTGGCAGGACGGGCCCTCCAGTCTGTGTCTGTTTTGTCAGAATCCCGATTTCTATCCCGACCAAAAGAACGATCATCCCGGTCTGTAGAGAAAAACAAAATAGCTAAGACACTACTCACTCCTCTGATACCGCCTTTTACACTACACTCCATTAGCTTCTATTTTCTACTGCACTATCATCATGTTGTCCTCCGTAAGGAAGTGATCTTTTCTTCAAATGTGTTTTTATTAATTTAATGTTTCTGTTTTAGAATATAGCTTAAGCTTCGACATACACAGAAAATCTAACTATAGATTTAAGGTTTAATTACGTTACTCAGTGCCTTGAAGTCTTATTTTCATTCAATGATCATTTGGTGTTTTGCCTGCATGTACATCTGAGTACAAGAAGCCCTGAAACTGGAGTTACAGACAGGTGTGAGCTGTCATGTGGGTGATGGGAACTGAACCTGGGCCCTCTGGAAGAGCAGATAGAGGTCTTAACCAATGAGCTATCTCTCCAGCTGTTCTTTGAAATCTCAACCTACTAACTGATATGGGATGTCCTTCTGTATATGCTGCAAATGTGTTGCTTTTATTGGTTGATGAATACAGCTGTTTTGGCTAATGGCCAGGCAGAATATAGCTAGTTATAGAGAAAAAGAAGGTGTTATCAGGAAGATACCACATAGTTGCTCAGGAAGTAAGATGTGAGGTATGGGCCACATGGTAAAATATACAATAAAAGAAATGAGTTAATCTAATGAGAGCTAGTTCACAATATGGCTAAGCCATTGGCCAAGCAACTGTATTTCATATTAGCCTCTGAGTGACTAATAAGCTGCTGTGGGGACTGATGGGTGGGAGAGAAACTGGTGCAGCCGGACCAGGCGAGGACAGAAAAACTTCCAACTATAACTAATATTTTGAGTTGGGAATTCTTTGAGGTGGAGATAGGATCTATCTCTGGATTCTATGTATCAGGTGTCAGTATAGAACCTTCAAATCTGTGGCCAATCTCCTCTAACACTGCCTTACGGAGCATAGAGCAAATGGGTTGAGAACTGCTACTATAGGACCCACTACCAACCTGGAATGCTCTATCAGTTTCCTCACCTTTATCTTGTGCTTGATCAGCAACGTCCACTCGAATTCGCCTATTACCTAGAGACTGAGAGCATAGGACCTTATTAACCATCCCTTGTTGACTTAAAAAATTCCCTTATAAAAACTTGAAAAATTGGCCAGGCGTTGGTGGCACATGCCTTTAATCCCAGCACTCTGGAGGCAGAGGCAGGAGGATCTCTGTGAGTCTGAGACCAGCCTGGTCTACAAGAGCTGGTTCCAGGACAGCCTCCAAAGCCACAGAGAAACCCATCTCGAAAAAACCCAAAAAACCAAAGACTTGAAAAATTGAAATAAATTGGAATTAACAAAGTTGGCCTTAAGTGAATATAAAGCCAGTCTTTCTGTTTTCTCAAAGCCCAGTTCCATATAATATTAAATCTAGCAGTTTGTTAAGCATGCTTGTAATTACAGCTCTCAAGAGGCAAAAGAGTCACTCCAGGTTCCAGCCTAGTGGTGAGACACACTCTTTTAATCCCAGCCCTTGGAAGGCAGAGGCCAGCCTGGCTTACAGAGCAAGTTCCAGGACAGCCAGAGAAGTCAGTTACAGAGCAACCCTGCCTTGGAGAAAAAGCAAACAAACCCCACACCCCCAAAATCACAGCTAATCTAGCACGATCAGTACCAAAGCAATTTTATCCAAACAGCTAAACAGCTAAGATCATTGTTTATATCCTTATGACTTTCCCCACTCATTATTTTTGTGTACTGACTTCCCTTTTCTAAATTATCTTTAAAATACTGACCAAAAGCTGAGATTACAGTTGTGAATTAAAGGTGTGTCTATCTGTACCTATGAATTTTTACCACTATCTGAGATAGATCATGACATTCAATTACCATTCATTAAAGACATTTCCAAGAGCTTTTTATTTACAATTATACCAAATGGTAGATTTAGACTATGGAATGTGGTTTAGGACATGGGTTTCTCAGTTTCTGGGGTTAAACACCCCCAGCCCTGAAAAAAATAAAACCCTAGAGTTGAGACAAAGTAGATTTATTAGAAACCTCATACCCAACAGGTTTCTCTCCTAAAATTCCATCAAAGTGCTTCCTCTAATTAATGGAAATCACTGTAGTTCAAAGGACATGGTGTGTGACTTGGTTTGCTGTTTCTTTACCTCTTCATTGAGACTCAGAGCACTGAGCAGAGAATCCAGGTCTTCAAATTCTGCATAGCCAAAGCCTTTCAACCTGTCAGGATTGCTGGGTTCACGTGGTAAGCGTACAGCGCTGATCTGAGAATAAAGAAACACGTAAAAGGGGAAACAACAAGCCACAGTGATCAGTACATATGTAATTAATTTGTCTGAAGAAATTACAAGAACCTGGAAGTGCCTGGGATAGAAGACAAACAACTCTATAGCCTATTATACCTTTTTCAAATCTATTCTTTCCATCTTAGCTCTGCCTCCCACTATCAATTTACTTTCGCTACTATCCTCAACACCCTACAAGCAGTCTAACATTAAGACACTCACATTTAATCCTCTAAAGAATTCCTTAATGGAGTCTTCTGTCACATCATAAGGCAGGTTCCCCAGGAAAGCAGTGTAGGGTGGTGATTTGGGAAGACGGCTCCGGTCAATATTGGGTTCCCGAGCAGCCCGTGGAGCAGTGGGAAGGATGGAACGGTCAATTGGAGGTGCTCTATACACATCATCGTCATTACTATGCCAAGTTGTTGACACTAGAAGAGCAGGAAAGGAATTAAGAAACTGGGCATGGTAGAGCACCCAGGATGCTGGAATAAAATTCATGTGAGCTCAAAGCCACTCTAGGCTACAGAATGAGACTGTCTCAAACAACCCAAACCCAGTAGGCATTGAGGGAGAGGTTGGCTCAAAGTTTGAATTCACTGTGAATTCCAGGCCAGGCAGGACTATATAGAGATCTTGTCTCCAAACACAACACACATACAAGATTAAAACAAACAAAAAGGGCTGGAGAGATGGCTCAGAGGTTAAGAGCACTCACTGGCTACTCTTCCAGAGATCCTAAGTTTGGTTCCCAGAAACCACATGGTGGCTCATAACCATCCACTGTGAGATCTGGTGCCCTCTTCTGGTGTGCAGATATACATGGAAGCAGAATATAGTATACATAAATATTTAAAAAAAAAAAAAAAAAAAAAAAAAAGGAAAGAAAGAAAAGAACAGAACGAACTGAGAGGAACACTCCCTTATAACCAGAGAGATTCACGCCAACACCAGCCCAGCCACAACAAGGTTGTAGCACTGAAGCAAAAGACAAAATGCTTCTAAGGTATAGTCAAGGGTGAACAGACTGGTGCTGGAAAGGTGGCTCAGCAGTTAAGAACACTTGCTGCTCTTGCAGGACTCAGGTTTAATTTCAAGCATCCATATGGTGGTTTACAACCTAGTTCTGGGGGATCCAACAGGCAAAATATTCATAAAGTTAGAGGAAAAAACTAAGGAGCACTCATGTCTGTTTTTACCTTGTGTTTTGCCCCCCACACCCTCCCCATAGTGTTGTATTAGCCTAGGATCCTCTTGTCTTCCACCTCCCATCGCAGGGATTACAGGTCTGTGCCACCTCACCAGGCTTTCTTCAAGGTTTACCTTTCCCTAAAACCCACACAAACAAACAAAACAAAACCAACTATCCTAGTCCTGACCCTTGAATTTTTATTCAGTTTCAACATTTACAGAAGGCATAAATTATATGAAATTTACTTATTTTTATTATAAAAATGGGTCACACACAAAGTAATCAGTTTGTAGTAAGTTTCAAGGGAGAAAGAAAGGTGGTTAGACTTATGTTTATGCCCTAATAATTATTAGAAAGTTCAAAGGTGGTAGTGCATTCTGTAATTTCAGTACTGGAGAGGTAGATGTGAACAGACCTCTGAAAGCTTGAGGTCAGTCAGTCTTGTCTATATATAGCAAGTTCTGGGTCAGATAGTGCTACAGAGACCTTGTCTGAAACATACAATAAAACAACAGAAATACACATACCCCAACCAAAAACAAAGCCAGGCATAGTGGTGCAGGTCTTCAATCCCAGAAGACAGATCTATGGAGGACTGCACAACAAAATCACACAAACTCCCCCCACACCAATCAATCAATTAAAACACCCCAACCCCCCCCAAACAAGTTACATGCTTCTTTTAGGTATAAGATCTTTTTATCCTCATAAGTGATGTTGCAATACAGTCTGTTAAATTATGCATACTCAGGAGCTATTGCATGAAGTTGATCTGAAAACAGACCGAGGGAAAGAAATAACTATCATGTGGAAAAATACAGAATAGCCTGGCACAGTCAAAAAGCAGCCAGTAACAGACATGCCCCGAGACTAAAGGCATATACCACCACACCTAGATGTTAAACTTTTGATTTTTTTTAAAAACTAGTTTATTTAAATTTATTTTATGTGCACTGGTGTGAAGGTGTTAGATCTCCTGAAACTGGAATTGAAGAACAGCCAGTGCTCTTAACCACTAAGCCATCTCTCCAGCCCGATGCTAAACTTTTTTAAGACAGGGCTTTTCTATGTAGCTCTGGCTGTCCTGGAACTTGCTCTGTAGACCACGCACAAACTCACACAGATTCAGTTGCCTATGCCTCCCAAGTGCTGGGATTAAAGGTGTGCACCACTATGACTAGCTAGCTACTCAATCTTAATGCAGCAGCCAATAGCTATTCTGAATTTCTCAAATTTAAGAAATTTGAGAAAAAACCTAACACCCCAAGACACACAAAAAACTTCAGGCTCTACAAAGAAAGATCTTTTCCAATCACAAATGAGGCAAATTATGGAATATGATTGTGAAACAGTGAATATTTTAACCATGATAGTTCTAAGGACAATGACAAAGGGACATTACCATCTCCTTCCAGATCGTCTGTTTCATCAGCCCAGCTGACTGGTTTGGGGACATAGGTGCTTCCTCCACCAGTACCCCCATCCTCAGCTAGAAAGTCTGTTAGGGAGATGGTCTTCCCCTTCTTATTCTTCTTTTTTGCTGAAAAGAGAGAAAAAAAGATTAGTCAAGGACACTCAAATATTTAGACATTTTTGTTGTTTTCAAGATAGGGTTTCTCTGTGTAGCTGCCTTGGAACTTGCTCCATCTCAGAAATCTGCCTGCCTCTGCCTCTCAAGTGCTGGAATTAAAGGCATGTGCCATCGCCTCCATCACCACCAGGCTGAATTTATAGACTTTTATTCTGTACCATTAAAAACATTCTAAAGAAATCAACAAAGACTAGTCAGATGACTGAGATTATGAAATTCACACGAAAGAATGTTATGTAGATATAAATGTGGACAAAGCACAACACAATTGTGATGGTCTGGAAGAAACGGCCCCCAAAGAGAGTGAGTGCCACTATAGGAGCGGAGGACTCCCTGTTGCCCACAGAGGCGGCACTCTCAGCTCCAGCATGCTGCCATATGCTCCCCTTCATGGTAATGGACCAAACCTTTGAAAGTGTAAGCAAGCTACCCACAAGTAAATGTTTTCTTTCTAAGAATTGCCATGGTCATGATGTCTCTTTACAGTAATAGTAAACCCTAACTAAGACAGTAATAGTCAAGGAAGTCAAGCATAATAGCTGTTTGGGAGGCTGAGGCAGGACATGTGTGAAAGACTATCTCAAAAAAGGTGAAGAAGGTAAATGTAGTCCACTTGCTAGCATTGCTAGTATGATGTCCTGGCTTCAATCCTTAACACTATGGAAACTGGGTGTGGCCAAAATACACTTGAAATGCTAAACTCAGTAGATAGAATAATATTAAAAGTTAGAGTCTATCCTCAGCTATATGGTGAGTTTGAGCCTAGCCTGGAATACACGAGATCCTGCCCACAAAACTAATATAACAAAGAGATAGATAAATGCTTATGTATATATACATATTTAGGCACAGAAAGGGAAATAAGGTATAGAAAGTAATACCCTCCAGGAAATATGGTATGAGATATTTTCTACTGTATTATTCACACACACAGGGCCTAATATACAAGTAAAGCGAAGGTTTACTTACTACTGAGCTATGTCTCAGTCCCACTTGAAATTTTTAGCTGGCAAAGAAGCTGAAGGATCTGAGTTGGAGGCTAGCCTGGTTAACACAGGGAAACTCTGAAAAACCACCCCCCAAAGGAGAAAATTTTAATAATTTTAATTTAGAAACTACTTTTTAAAAACTTGCTATGTAAACCAAGATAACCCTGAGTCCAGAGATCCAATCTGTTCCTGTCTCACCATGCCCTGCAATAAGGGACTTCTAAAAAATAACATACATACTGGAGAGATGCATCGTTCAGCCCTTGCTGAAAGAGTACTTGCTGCCCTTCCAGAAGACCTGAATTTAGTTACTAGCATCCACATTACGAGTACTTGCTGCCCTTCCAGAAGACCTGAATTTAGTTACTAGCATCCACAGGTGTTCCATGAACCCCCACCCTCTGCATTCCTCAGGCACACACACAATGCACATATAAACATGCAGGCAAAAGTCATATAGATTAAAACAAATAAATCTAAACCGGGCGTTGGTGACGTATACCTTTAATCCCAGCACTCGGGAGGCAGAGACAGGTGGATCTTTGTGAGTTCCAGGCCAGCCTGGTCTCCAGAGTGAGTGCCAGGACAGTCTCCAAAGCTACACAGAGAAACCCTGTCTCAAAAACAAAAAACATGCTGGTACATTCATGGTTCCTTAAATACATAGATAAAAGACAAAGTTCCCAGCCCATATATAGCATACTCCATACGGCACTTTGTGTGTATTGTCTACTTGTTAAATAACTATGAAGGAAGACACTTAAAATCTAGAGAGAAGGGAAGTAAATCTCAGCAGTGTTTTCCTAGCATTCACTGGGCTCTTCCCATTCTACCAAACAGGGGCCCCACCTCTATGGTAGGTTATCACAGCCATGGTAAAGTTCCTGCTTCCTCAGTGGTATTTGGAAGCATTTGATTAGTTAAGAGACAGACACCCAACACCTGAACTCTCTGTACCCTTAAAAACTTAACATGTGACACAGCCAACAGCTAATTCAGAACAGAAGGGACCAAGAGAACTTCTAGAACTGGCAAAGTAACCACCATGCCATCAAGGGGGAAACCAAACCAACCAAATAAAAAAACCCAGAACACCTAACCAAGCCAAACCAAACCAAACCAACAAAACCCCACATGGCTGGGTTGGTAGTGGCCTGTAATCTTAGCACCATGGAGGCTGAAGCAGGATGATTACAAGTTTGAGGCCAGTTCCCCCTCCACCAAAAGTTAAGCAGCTTTGTTGTATCAACTATCAGCTTCACAGTTGTTTTTTGAGACAGGCTCTCATTATGCAGCCCAGGTTGGCCGAGAACTCCATATATGGATCAGGCCAGCTGAGATCTATCTACCCCATGTCTCCCAAGTGCTGGGATTAAAGGGATGTGCCACCATGCCCAGCAGCTTCATGGTTTTTAGAATCATCAATTCTTCCTCCACCTTCCAATTCTCACCTAATTTTCAACTCAAGAGGAATAATCTAACTTGATACACCAATGCTTAATAGAAAGGCGCTTTCTCTGCCAAGCATTGGTGGCTCACACCTTTAATCCCAGCACTCGGGAGGCAGAAGCAGGAGGATCTCTGTGAGTTGGAGGCCAGCCTGATCTACTGATCGAGTTCCAGAACAGGCTCCAAAACTACTGAGAAGCCCTGTCTTGAAAAACCAAAACAGAAAGGAAAGGGGAGGAGAGGAAGGAAAGTTGCTTTCTCAAATCCAAGTGTCAGAAAAGATGCCCTGCTTGCTATGAACACTACAAACAGCATTATGGAAATAATGAACAACATAAAGAAATGATCAAATCAAGTGGACATGATGCAAAAAAAGAAGATGGCCACAAGTCAGTCTCTCTGTAGCTTTGAAGGCTGTCCTGGATCTTGCTCTGTAGACCAGGCTGGCCTCGAACTCAGAGATCCTTCTGCTTCTGCCTTCCAAGTGTTGGTGGCATGAGCCACCACCGCCGGGCTATACTTACGTGGCTCTAAAATTGACAATTTATCAACCAGATCACACCATCCTCTCAGTTCCTTCTGTTCCTCTGAATTAGCTGTTGACTGTACCACATCTCAAATTCTAAGGCTAGAGTGCCAAGGTCTGGCCACCGAATTGGGCAACAGTCGGGAACTACTGTTTGAAAAGTTAAACAGAGGGTTCTAAAGCACTCGAATTGCTCCAATTCACATGTAGACACCTTTTAGTTTGCCACCCCATTCCTCACTAAGTAGTGAAGGGACCAGCCCCCCATTTCGGCAGCCATGACAGTAACTCGTGCTCGATATGACCTTGCCTTAGTCACTAGAGGTTAGATGCCTGCTTCGTGTCAAGGAACCAATGAGAAGTTAGCTGGTGGCGCTATGCTTTATGGCTCTGGGTGTGCTTTACGGACAAGTGCACAGCAATGACACACAGAGCATAGCAACCACCCTGGGAGGGCTGTTGCTACATAACAACCAATTGGCCAATCAACACAGGGCAAGCCCTCCAACCCTGGAGGCACACCAATCCTGAGCCTGTGCATACCCCTTACGCTGCCCTATGGTTCAAACTGTCTTTTGTAGCCATCCCCCATGGTGGGTTGACAAAAGACCTGAGCTAACATGGGGTTAGCTCGTTAAATTACAATAAAACCTCATGCAGTTTGCATCAAGCTCTCGAATCTGCCTGGTGATTGGGGTGACTGAAGTCGTGGCCTGGGACCCTGATACCTGAGTTTTTCCGGGGGGGGTCTAACAATTAGGCCATATTATCAAAGGGGACAGGAAGGAAGAACAGCTATGCAGCTGAGGATGACCTTGGGTGATTGTCTTGCCCCCACCTCTTCCCTCAGTGCTGTGATCACAGGCATGCACTACCACACTAGGCTGATACGGTGCTGGGATGCATGCTAGGCCAAAGCTAACAAACAATAAGACCACCTGAATGTGATTTATTTACTTTATATATTCAGAATATTTTGTCTGAGTGTATGTGCTCCATATGCATGCCTGGTGCCTTGGGTCCCCTGGACCCGGAGTCACAGATGATAATGAACCACTATGTAGGAGCTGGGAATTGAACCTCCGTCCTCTGCAAGAGTAGCTAACCACTCTTGCTATCTTTCTAGCCACATTATTTTATACATTTAATTAAAATAAACAAAAACAATACCTGGAGTTAGAATGATGCTTGCCAGAGATTCTGATCCCCATCTGGCTACTAATTAGCTAATATCCATTTACTAGCCTATTTTGACCACTTGGGAGAAAACACTGGTGGTGGTCAAGCTAAGGAATGGAGCTCAACAGAACAGGAAGAATTTAAGGTATTCCCTCCTTACCCATTTTTCTGTACATATTATCTTATACACCACACATAATTTGGAATTAACCTACCCTCTGAAATGATCTGGCTTAAATCAACTCTGTACATCAGGGCTTCAACTCTTAACCTCTTGATTCAAGTTAAGACAAACAGAAGTTTCATTCTTCATTAATGTTACTTGATATTTCAAAATAAGCTAGAGTACTAATAAAACATATTAAACCAGTTATTTTTAAAATCTTTTGAATCATTTACTTCCCCTTTCTTTATTCCCTCCACCAAATCTGGTTAAGAAATCACTGTTAAATGAGGTAAAAGATTTTAAAAGACAGGCTAAAATTTCCTTAAAAGATCTCTTACTTAAGAGTAGCTGCCACAATAATTCAGTCACACGAAAGTGGCAGTTTTTTAAAAAGTAGATCCTGAGAGGAAAATAAATTGAGATAGCAACGTTTGTTCCATTTCATTTTATCCCACTGACAAGCTATCAAAATCCTCCCATGCCCTTGGAGCCTCCAAAATCTAAGGTCCTGCATGTTTAGAAGATTTCAACTCGGGGGTTGGAAAGAAGGGTCAGTGGACTGCTCTTGCAGGGGACTCAAGTTTAATCCCCGTCACCCAGCTCAGGCAGCTCACAATAGCATGTAACTCCAGCTACAGGG